ATGAATGAAAATGGTCACCATTCTGTAATGCATATAAAACAGCATTTAAAGACTCATGGTGGTGGTAGTATGCATGAGAAGGTTCTAATGTTATACTGCACAGTAGGAATTCAGGACATAATTTAGAAAACTGAAAAAAATATTAGGAAATAAATTGGCATGTGTGTTCTTTAGAAATGAGGGGGTAAATACTGAAAAAGCAGTGAAAAGAATTGGAAAGGGATCCATCGCCTTTGAGAGTGCAGTGGGAGTGAGGAAGGATATAGCAGGGAATTGTGTTTTTCCTTATAATCCTGCAGTGCTATGTGACTTGAAATTTTATAGACATGTATTACTTTGGTAAAAAAAATTAAACAAGCATGTGTGAATGTGTAACAATTAATTCCACTATTATGCTTCAAAAAACATGGAAATTAAAAAAAATAAAATTAGAAAAGACTCACAAGGTCTGGGGGATAGTTCAGTGCCTAGTATGTGCAAGGCTCTGGGTTTGACTCACAGTATTATAAAATAAATAAAAAGAAAAAAGGACACACAAGCAAGCCAGTCATGGTGGCATGTGTGCTTGGAGTTCCAGCTATTAGGAAGGCTGAGGCAGGAGGATCACTTGAATCCAGGAATTAAAGGCTGGCCTGGGAAACATAGTGAGACCCCATCTGAAAAACAAAACAAAAGAAAAGACATATAAGATAAGGCCAAAAATGAATTAGTGATATGAACATATATTTTAGGAATATGAAAAGTAATTTAGAAAAAAATTACTTAAAAAGTCAAAAAGGAGACTTGTTTTGGTTAAGATCCTTTACAATATGATTTTTAAAACCATGTTCATGTATTACTTCAATAAAATTAAAAATCATTTGAAAACAAATACAAATTTAAAAAATTAAATAAAGAGGGTCAAGTGTGTTCCAGATAGCAAATACTAGGTGTGCTCAAAAGGCAGGGGGAGGGTAGAGGGAGAGATTTAAGAGTTTTATTGAGGCAGAGCCTGATCTCTGTGTGTTCGAAGAAGTTATTGAATGTTCAAAGCAGGAGAAGCACATCAACTGATTTGTGCTTTAGAATGTTCCTTTCTCTCAGTCCTGATGAAAAAGGAGTTGTTCATGGAAGACACATGCAGTCAGCTTGGGAGGGAAGATGCCTGGCTGCTGAGGGCTGGTTGTCAGCTTTTGGAGAGAACTGCATGATCCCTGGGCCAGGGTACCTCTTTTCTCAGGACACTCTTCAGAAGATCTTTGTTCACAGTTGCCCTTCAAGTGTGTGTGTGTGTGTGACGCTTGCGCTCTCTCTCTCTCTCTCTCTCTCTCTCTCTCTCTCTCTGTGTGTGTGTGTGTGTCTATCTTTCAGTACTGGGATTGAACTCAGGGCTTCATGCTTACCAGGCAAGTGGTCTATCTCTGAGTCACATCCCCAGGCTGTTTTCATTGACGTCCAACTTCTTTTCTGTTGGACACACAATCTGTGTGTGTGTGTGCGCGCGCGCGTGTGCGCGCACGCACATGTGTATTAGCAATCACAGGGCCTTGCACTCATGAGGCAAGTGCTTTCCCACTGAATCACACCCTCATCCCTGGACACATGATCTTTTAGACACATTACTCAAATCCTGGCTTGAAGACATCTGTCTCATTTGGGTGCCTCTGCATATCTTGTTTCTGATGCTTTTGTTTTGTTTAATTAGTTTAGCTTTCAGAAGACAACTTCGTATCTAATTCCAGGTTCTTGGGGAGAGGTACCATGTTGTTCACCCAGTTGTTGTTTATATTTGATTTGGAGAATCAAAACTGGAGGCAGGGAATCTAGTCTGGAGGCAAGGACAGAAACTCCAGTGTGGCATCCTGAGAGCCTCTAGTCTTTTCAGCTGTTCTGCATTGTCATCTCTGTAAGTTCCATAAAAATTTAGGAACTGTTGAGATTCTGCCATTTATTCTCCCATCTTCAGATTGCCTCTTAGTCCTGGAAGCCATAACATCAAAATTCTTGGGCAGAATACATGCCCAAGGTTTTGGCTCAAAAAATACAGTTACTATACCCAAAGGCCTCAATAAATTACTGTTTATTGAGCATCACTACTGAGCATGGGAATGATAAATCCAAATCATGAGAATCTTGGGGTCTTAAGTGGCCTTTTATTAGAAGGCTTTGGGGATCAGCCTGAGAAATTGATTTCTTCTACTTACATGGATAACAAAAGGGGATTTGGTCCCTAGGTCTTTGCATTTCTGTATGTGGACAGCTGAATCTAGTTGATAAAAGAGATAAACCTGGGGTTCTGAAAAAACTAAATTTTAAAGTCTGAAGGTTACTTGTAACTTAACTAACATGGCCCTATCATTTTGTAGATGAGGAACCAAGGTTCAGAGAGAATTGATTTGCCCAAGTCTACACTGTCAGTTAGGGAGTGAGCCATAAATCAAACCCAACTTCTTTCTACCAGTCTATTCTGCCTTCCAGAATAGTGGCCCAGCTTCATGAAGTAGAAGGTAGATTGACCATTTGGCAGGGCATTGGCCCATGAAGAGGGGTAGGATAGCACTGCATTGATGATTGTTGTCTATTTGTAACATACTAAATGCATGAAGAATGATAAGACCCCTCAGGTGAGCTGTATCCCTACATTGAGAGTCATATGGTGCTGTCTCCTCAAACTAATAAGAATCAAACTGCAGTAAGAATTGGCTAATTCACACTGCATTGTGGCCTGGAGCTCTTTCTCTTCTTCACTATCATCTTGAGAACTGTAACTGTAACTCCCAATACTTTGGGAGTAGAGGTATATATCTGAGAATCTCTCAGAAGAATGATTGATGGGGTGGAAGGGTCTGTCAATACCTCTGGCTTGATACTGGGGAATGAAGTGGTATTGAGCTACTGGTACAGTGAAATGTGGTAAAAGCCTGAGCTTTGGGGTTCACTACAAGCTCCTCTACTTGTGTGACCTTGGGCAAGTCACTTCAGCTTCTCGGTTTCCAAAGGAAATAATTTATGAAAAGAGCCTAACACTGTACCTGGTAAATTGTAAGTGCTCAATGATTGTTTGTGATGATGAAGAAGGTGATTATATACATTGCTTAATCCCTAAAATGAATGTGGGCAAGTGGCCAGTCCATGAGCTTCTTGATGAGTTGTCTTTCCAGGTTAGGGCCTAGTAGATTAAATAAATGTGTGCTGGGTTTGGGGGTAAGTGGGTAGTGAAGAGATCAGCCTGTCTAGAGCAGAGGGTTAGTGTTAGGGACAGAAGTTGAAAGGCTCAGCCTCTATTCTGTGGGCAATTGGGAAGTCATTGAAGGGCCCCTCAGACTTGGTACCTGAGAATAATTGGGCCAGGCCTCAGAAGCAATCTTGCTACTACAGAGTGAGATACAAAGTTTTAATAAAAAAGTATTCCATGGCCCTGCTCCTGTGTTCCTTTGGGGGCTTAAATGATTAAAAGTTGGTGTCACTGTTATCAGATGAGCATGCACTTGTGCCAGATGTTGTGAAGCCTCAAAGCCACTCCATAAAGGGAGGGATTCTCACCACTGCCCCCACACCCACTCCTTTTACAAGTGAAAAAAACTGAGGCTTCATGTAGTGAGGTGACTTTCCCAGGATTATATGGCTGGGAAACAGTCAAACTGGAAGTGCTGTACTCACCTGACACCCTGATGCTTACCTGCCCCACCTCACTCACGGAGCCTCCATTCACCCTTTCAACAGATGCTCTCTCTCAAGCTCCATCTCCCTCCCTGTGTGTCCTTTTGTCCTTTGGCACTCAGCATAGTTAAAGATGGGACTTCCTGCCACTAGTCATATCTTGGCTCTCTCAGCTGAGGAAAGAGCCTGTAATGTGTTTACCTCTGTGTTCTTTTACAGCCTAGCCTAGGAGAGGGCAGGAGGCCTGGGGTAGAGGGAGGATGAAGACTACCAGGGGGAAGAGGAAGACAACTTCCCAGACTGTCTCATTTCCATGGTCCCTGGCCCTCCTCCCCTTCCCTACCCCTCCTCCCCTTCCCTACCCCCAGTTTACCAGCTCCTCTGCCCTAATCTCCCTTACACAGTACATGTCCACACACAGACACACACAAGTACATGAAGAGTCGAACACACACGGGTACCATCTCTCTCTCTCTTCCACACAGACACACACATGCACACAACACACACACACACACACACACACACACTTACACATTCCTTTCAGGGAGGAGTAGCTGGAGGGGAGGGGAGTGGTTCACATTTCACTCATTTCCTTGCTTCCCTCAGAGCTGTCCCCCACTCCATTCTCTTCTGTTGTGCTCCCTTTGTCTCTGAGGGGCCTCACAATGAAGAAGGCAGACCAGTGTAGTAGAAAGGAACCCAGCAGCTGACTCATTTACCCCCTCGGTTCCATTCTCTTCATCCGGAAAATAAGCAGGTTGGGCCAGGCAATTGGCAAAGCCTCTTCTATGTTGTTAATAATACCTGGCATTTGTCTACTGGGTTCCAAAGGGCTTAATCATCCCAACAGCTCTGCAAGGATCGACCTCATGTTACAAATGGGGAGACTGAGGCTCAGACTCAGAGAGGTGAAGTGACCTGCCAGGTCAAGGGGCTGGTAAGTGGTAGAGCCAATATCTGAGCCTAGGTCTCTATGTTTAAAGCTCAGGCTTTGCCCCTGCCCACAGCTGCTGGCTGCTTATTAGGCCACTCCAGAGAAAATCACATTCCTCACCATGACCCATTAGGCCCCACTGCTGTTGATTTATGGGTACCTCTTTGATCTCACCTCTGACCACCCTTCCCTTGCTCACTCCACCCCAGCCTGTCTTCCTCCATGTTCTTCCAACTGGCTAGGCACTCGCCATCTCAACCATCTCACAGCCTTTGCACCTGCTATTCTCTCTGCATGAATGGAATACCCTTTATCTCATTTCCATCAACATGCATTAGGCCTCAAGGGCACTACATAGGGCAGGGGAAGAAAGTAGAAAGCACATGTTGACTGTGTTTTTTTTTTCTTTCTGTTTCCCTTTCAGATCTGATGGTGAGAATTCCAGAACTGTCAGGTCAGTACCTCCTTTCTTTAGTAGTAGTTGGGAAATTGGGCTGGGCATGGGGTGGGAGCCTCTAATTTCTTACTTTGGGATCCATGGGCAGGGGTAGGGACCAACTCCAGGGTTCTTTCCCCATTAATATTAGGGGTGGGTGTGGAGCAGAGTGGAGTGGGAGGGCAGGGGGAATGTGGCAGGTCTTGGGAGGGGGTTGTAGACTGTTCTTCAGTTTTTCTGACCCTAGCTGACTCAGGGGCTTGGCTGAACACTTCAGGGGCTCATAGGAGCTGGCCAGATATGAAAGCCGATCTCCAGAGAGATCAGCTCTGGACCTGGGACCTTTACCACCTTCTCCTCTCAGGAGAAGGGGGTATGATGAATGTAGGGCTTACCTAATATAGTGTTCTTGTTCCTACCCTGAACTATGTCAGCCCTGAGTAGTGGGATTTAGGTGGACTTTGGATATGACACATCCTAGACATTAGAAAAACATATCATTGTGACAAGTAAACTTTTTTTTTTTGGCTTGGTTAAAACGTTTATAAGATTCAGTAAGTTTTAAAGGTAGAATCAATTGCCACTTGAGTAGGCAGGAGGAAAATTGGGGTAGAGGCAAGGGCTCTTTGTGTATTCCCCAGGCTTCAACCATCAGAAACCTCATGAAGGCAGAAGTGTCAAATATAAGGATTATTTTGGGAATGATGGGGGGCTCAGGGTAGGGCCCAATCAGTCTTAGCTTCCAGGCTATGGACTATGGGATGGGCCTCTGAGATGAGATGGGTCCAGGCAGCCAGAGGCACAGGATGGGGACAGTTAGTCCCAGCCAGGGCTACCACTAGCATATATAGCACCTTTGTGAAGAACAGAAAAAAGGTGTCCCTTTCAGGAGCATCCCTTCTGATTGGGATCAATTGGAAAAAATGTTCTTTTATCTCTGAGCCATCTCACCAGGCTTCCCAGCTTCGTGAGCATAGCAAAGGTTAGATATCAGCCCCCACTCATGCCCTCTTGGCTGTTACCCCTTGTGTAGGGCACAGTTTGCCCAGCCATATGCAGCAGTGCAGGTCCTGTCATCCAGACAGTGGATATGGGCTGGAGGAAGAGGATGCCAGCACACACAGAGAGATATAAGACACCTATCCTAGTGTCCCAGGCAGGGGGTCTGTGTTGAACACATTGGGCCAAGGTCAGAGCCGTGGGATAGACACACAGTGAGGTCAGCGTGAAAGCAGGGGGAACATGATGGATCACAATCAGCCCTGGTGTCCAGGAAAGGGGTATATGATGAGCTATAATTAGTCCCAGCATGCAGCCAAGGAGCATGGCACAGGCACAGCTTGTCCTAGCACTTAGGAAGGCACTTGTCTGGAAAAGGACATGGATCTCACCATCCCATTATGGATTTGGGAAAAGGTAACCTGAACTGACCTTGAGCCCAGGGCTCCTAATGATATGCCTGCTACTTGTTGAGGAATCAGCTTCAGGGTGCCTCTGGTTTTTACCTCTTCCTGCCAGGGGAGTTTCTGAGATCTATAGCTCAGGGTATTTAATAATAATCATAATCATAAGTCATGTGATGACTTATGTTGGGCCTTTACGACTTACAGAAGTTGTCATGGACTTTCTTTTGTTTGATCCTCCCAGTGACACTGTAGGTGGAACCTGGGCTGGCCTTATCATCAGTGTTTTACAGTTGAAGAAACTAAGGCTCAGGATGGTTATGGATTTTGCCTACAGTCACACAACTAATATGTGGCTGAACCAGGATTCAAACCCAGGTCTGCCTGGCATCAAGCCCACAGCCCTGCCCACACCATCACCGTGGGAGCTCTCAACAGCCTTACAGATAATAATAATCATCCTCATCCTCATGCTAATATTAGTAATCATAGCAATTATCATTGATTCCTCACACACTAAGAACTCTGAATATGATCTTATTTAGTGCTCACAGCAGCCCTATTAGGCATGGATTCTGATTCCTGATTTACTGATGAGGAAAAGGAGGTTGTGAGAAGGTTAATGCCTTGCCCAAGGAAAGAAGAGTAATGGGCAGGATGGCATTTCTCTGATTCAGAACTTGGCTTTCTGGCTCTAAAGCCAGTGTTGGTTTTTCTTATACTTGCTTCTTGGGCATCCATCCTGGGTGCCTGGTCAAGGAGGCTATAGAGGCTTTGGGGACTCAGCAGGTAGGGAAGTAAGGGTCAAACCTGGGCCACAGGAAGGACTGAAAGAATAACATTATGGGACAAGATCTTGCAAACATGGTGGAAAGATTCTTTACCTGGGAACCAGGACTGGATAGGACCCTCTAAGGATGCTCTCAGGCCCCAATTCCTGAGTTCACTGCAGTTAGGGGTCAGGGAAGTCTTCTGGATATATATATATATATACACACACACACACACACACACACACACACACTCTCCTGGAAATGGAATTAGTGTGCATAGGAAAGCAAGGTGTATGTTTAAAGACAGGGAGCAGTCATTTAGGCTGAAACAGAAGATTTGGGCAGGAAAAAAATTAAAGTTCAGAACTCTGGTCAAGGATGGGTCACAGATACTTTCTATCATCAGGGGGGAGCTGAGAAAGGTTGGGGAGAGGTTAAGCTCTGTAGCATAAAAAAAAAGGCAGAAACTTTGGATCCAGGCAGAGGGCTCCATTTTTGGCTAGGTTGCTTTCTAGTTGTGTGATTGGACAAACCTGTTTGTCCCTTAGAACTCATTTCCTCATCCAATAAGTACGTGTGTGTGCACGTGTGCACGTGTGTGTGTACACACAGAGAAGGGTTAGAAGAAACACCAAGGAAGCGAGACATGATGGCATCTGTAATTTGGAAAGCTGAGTAAGGAGGATCACAAATTCAAGGCCAGCCTGAGCAACTTAGCAAGCCCCTCAACAATTTAGTGAGACCCTTTCTCAAAATAAAAATCACAAGGGGATGTAGCTCAGTGGTAAAGCACCCCTGAGTTCAATCCCCAATACCAACAAAACAAAAACAAAGAAAAAGAAAAAGTAAAAGAAACACCGGAGAGAGGGGCCAGGGCTCTGCTTTTGTGAAACCTGCACAGCAAGGAGTGAGCAGGATAGGTGGACTGCAAACCACCTAAGGCAGGGCCCAGGCCTGAGGGCTTCTAAGTATTGGGTGCCAGAGGAAGTGTAGAGTCTAATTAGAGCTGAACAGCTGGTGATGGGGGAGGGCAGTGAGCAGAGTTAGGTGCTTGGACTTCCCTTAGATTCTAGAATAGTTGTCAGACATAAAGGCACCTTAAGCCAAAGTCTAGAGAAGAACTGGCCCTGGCTCAGAATCACAAAGCCTGCTTCCTAGCTGTGTGCTCTTTGCAGGCACTTAACTTCTCTGGTCCTTAGTTTCTCTTTGGTAAAATGGGAATGGTAATTCTGACTTCTCTGAGTTGATGAGAGAACTTAAAGCAGTGCTCAGCATAAAACAGTGGCTCAAGGAATTTCAGTGCCCTCTGTCCTTCCCTAATCCAATCATTGTTTTATGTTGTAGAGTCAAGCGGAAAAAATATGGGGAAGTGCAGAACTTGAAAACAGACAGGGAAGGAGGGGCTTGATTGATCCCTTCACCAAAGATGAGGGAGCCCAGTAGCCCAGTTCCAGCAGCTCTACTGGCAGGCAGTGAGGGGTCAGGCTGGAACTGGGGGTGGGGGGACCAGGCTGGAGTTGCTAGGCACGCAAGGATGAGAGCCGGAGGAGGTGGCCTGTTGCTAGGGAAGGAGGGAGGGGGTGGGGGAGCCACTGACACCCGCGGAGCCAGGGACGTCCCCATGGCAACTGGAGCCGCTGCAGTAGGGAGGAGAAGTGGGAGGAGGAGCCACTGCTGGCTCTATTCCCAGAGGAGGCCTCCCACTCTGGGCCTCAGTGCCCCCATCTGTCCAACCAGAGTTTGGATTAGATAATCTGGAAGATTCTTCCTTGTTTTGACCTCCTGGCAATCAGAGATGGCCTAGCCTTTATGGCCCTTCCATGGCTTTCCCCATTCACATGTCTAACATACCACCAGTCCCCAGAGTCACCCCAGCTGTGTCCAATTCTTCCCTCCCATGCTGCTGCCTGTTCAACTCAGCCAAGCTGCCCACCCTGCCCAAGCTCTCTCTATTCCTACTGCTTAGTTTGCCTGGAACCTTGTCACTTATTGCTTGCTGAATGGCTGTTGAGGTGTGTACAGGGTTGGGGGGACAACTTCTGTCCTGCTTGCTCTGGAAATCCTGCCCTGGCTGCCATTACCTACCCTGACCGCTTCTTCTCTCCTGGGCTTCTCTGGCCTCATAGGTCTGAGTCCCTCCTATTAGCCTTAGGAATTACTGCTGTAATTTATTGAGCTGCTTCTGAATTGGGCTCCACACAGTACACTTGACAGACTCAGCTATTTACAGTAAATTTATGGTGACATATTGTGAATCTCCATTTTACATATGAGACAATATTCTGAGAGCTTATGGGACTTGCTGGAGGTCCCACAGGTACTGTCTGGTGGAGCCAAGTATGGAATTTGGCTCTGTATAATTGCTGCTACCTCAGGCTTGAGGTGGGGATAATCAGCAGCTGCAGAGCTTACTGAGTGATGGCTAAAGCTACTGTACGTCAGGTACCATGCTGGGCACTTTACCTGCAGTCTCTCTTCTCTTCTTCACAACAATCCTATAGGGCATATGGTGTTGTCATTTTACAGATGAGCAAACTAAGGCTTAGAGAATGAAAATAATTTATCCCATGGTAGAATTAAGGTAGGAATACAAACCATCAGATTTATGATCACCATACTACCCTGGAGTTGACTCAGTTATGTTCCCGAGGCATAAACAGAGCATTCCCTATGTAGCATGCCTGTGTTGGGCAATCCACAGGGGGAATGGAAGCAGGCAACCATGGTCCCTGCCCACAGGGAGCTCCCAGTCTGGAGTTGCTACAGACAGATGAGCCAGCTCTGAAAAGTCCATATGGGAGTGTGCTGACGAGGTGTACAGCCAAAGTGTAAGGACAAGAAT